CAAGTGACCACTTTACAGATGAGAAAACTAAAGTTCAGGAAGGTTAAAGATTTACTATTAATTAGGTTCATAGTTGTAATTAAATAATTATTCATGCAAATATCAAACTGTTCATCTTTTTCTCTAGATTTTACATTCTATAACAGGACTGATCCATAACTATTTTCACCACACAATCCTCAATGAGTAGCACAGTTTCTAACTCACAGTAGGTAGCTGATAAATATTAATTCATTTATTAATGGCTAATAAGTGGCAGAAGTAGGATTAAAATCCAGGACCTTTGAATCATAATTCACTATACTCAGTGTCTAAAGTAAATAGTGATAGGAGTTAATAGGAAAACTCAAGGAGAGGACCTAGTCTAAAGGAGAATATCCCCCCCCTCCCCCCATGGTTACTCACATGTCATTTATGAATTCACTCAGGTATTCAATAGGTTGCCGAATTCCTATCAGAGGCACTGTGCTAAGCACTGGGGGCATAACAGTAAACAAAATAAACAAGGCTCTGACCACATGGAGGTGACAGGGACTAACAAATAGTCACACATGTAAATTTAAGCCTCAACTATGACTTGTGCTGTGTGGGATGGATGATGGTAATGGCAATGAATGAAATGGCACTGACCATGAGGTTATTTCCTAACTTTAGCATTTTATGGACATAGACTCCAAAGCACGACAGTTAAGTGATACATAAGGGTCTTAAGGACAGTGGGGGAGTTACAACTATTCTAGCACTAACTCTAGAGCCCTTTCAAATACAGGAAGTATAGTGGTTGAAAGCATGAGCTTTGAAATTAAATAAATGAGTTTGAAATAAGTTTTAATCTCCACCTCTTCTTTTACTGGCCTACTCTCTTCGAGTTGATTCTTTATCTATAGAATAGCAATAAGAACTACTCACAGAGTTGTTGTGAAGGTAAAATGAATCATTAATATCTGTGAAATTTATCACAGGCTCATAGTCAATGAATGGTGGATACATTTTTCCCCAATCTAAGATCTAGTTCATTAAGTAGGAGCTACAGTACTTCTCTTAAGATCTTCTCCCTGGTTTTCCATCACCAGCACAAATTCCTTCAGATGTCCAAATTACTTCTTTCCTTATCTACTTAATTACTACTTGTATCAATACGCTTATGTCCAGAACACTCCTATAAACTTCACATCTGTGCATTCAAACGGCCTACCCAGCATCTACAACTGGATGTCTGAAAAGATTCTCAGTCTTAAAATGATTCCCAATGATCAGGATTTTGATACCATCCCCTTTCTCCCCCGAACCTCTGCAACTCTTATGGCTTTCCCAATCTCATTTAATGGCAACTCCAATTTTACAGCAGTATAGGACAAAAGCATTGAAGTCACCCTTGACTCTTCTCTTTCCTTCGCCCTCTCAGCAAATCCTGCTTGCTCTAAATTTAAAATATATCTAGAATAGAAAAACCTCTCTCTACCTCCATTGCCACTATCCTGATCTGTGAATGTTGATTTTATGTGTCAATTTGGCTGGGCTACAGTACCCAGATATTTAATCAAACATTATTCAGGAAGTTTCTGTAAAGGTGTCTTTTGGATGAGATTAACATTTAAATCTGTGGCCTCTGAGTAAAGCAGTTTACCTCCGTCATGTGTGTGGGTCATATCTAGTCAATTGAAGGCCTTAATAGACTACATGTTTAACTTACTTATCTTGTTTTTTAGCTATTATTACCTCCACCAGAAATGTAAGCTTAGTGAAGGCAGGGAGTTTTATCTGCTTTGTTCACTGCTTTAATACAGTTTTTATGGACCTGGCTCTGCTCTTGAGCAAGGAGGTTGTGGCGTCAGCAGGTTCCAGGCGATTCAAGCTCCATAAGGGATGATAGAGGTTGTTTACAACGACCGACCATATGGGGAAGAAAGAGCTCGTGAAAGTGCAACACTGATGACACCATTGGGGTCCTTAAGAAGCTGACTGTAGCCCAAACTGGTAGCCTTTGGAACAAGATTGTACTAAAAAGTGGTACATGATTTTTAAGGACCACATTTTTCTGGGATGAACCTGGAACTTTATTACCAAGAGAGCATAATCCCCCTCCCCGCAACCTGTCCCCTCTCCTCCTACCCTTACCTCCCACAACGGTATGGATGATTGTTTTTAAAAGTCACGTTAATAAAAACTTAAAAGCAGAAGAGACAGTTTTTAGATTCTAAAGCGATGCCTGGTACATAGTAAGTATCCTATCTAATAAAAGAGAAACATGGTAATTAGCCATAACTTTGCTACCCTTCCCATTGGCTAATCAGGGAGATATGCAAATTAACTGCCAACCAAGATGATGGTTGGCAGCCAGGCAACTGATGGGAACAAGAGGCTTGCTTGCTCCAGTGACGGAGGAAGCCAATGTTCCCCGCCTGCCGCTGCCAGCCTCTCAGCTGCTCTCTAAGAAACACTGTTACAAATATAGAAGCTAAACAAACCCCAGAAATCTGGTTTCAGTCAGCCAGGATCTCAGATCTGGAGTCGCAACAAAGTTTCAAATACAGAAGGTAAACAAAGTCCAGAAACCTGCTTTCAGCAGCGGAGGTCTGAACTAAAGCCGGCTCTCAGCTCCAGTGACAGCCATAGAAAGTAAATAAATCCCAGAATTAAAAAAAAAAGGAAAAAAGGAGAGGCTGGGAGCTTCAGTCACCTGCCAGCCTGAAAACGGCTCTCAGCCCCTCATCCAGGCTGGACAGGCACCCAAGCAGGCCCCCCACCCTGAAGGGGGTGTGACCAGCTGCAAACAGCCATCATCCCCTCACCCAGGCTGGCCAGGCACCCAAGCGGGTCCCCCACCCTGATCCAGGACACCCTTTAGGGCAAACCAGCTGACCCCCACCCATGCACCAGGCCTCTATCCTATATAGTAAAATGGTAATATGTCTCCCAGCACCGGGATCAGCGGAGCCATGAGGCCTCCCAAACCTGAGATCAGCGGAGCCGTGAGACCTCCTGGCCCCTGGAGCAGCGTGACAGGGGGCAGTGCCCAAACCCCCTGATTGCCCTGTGGCTCTGTGTGTGACAGGGGTGGGGCCACAACCTCCCTATCCGCTCTGCTCTGTGTGTGAAAGGGGAAGGCACCCCAAACCCCTGATTGGCCCTGCTCTGTGCCTGATAGGGGGGAGCCCCCCAACCCCCTGATCGGCCCTGCTCTGTGTGTGACAGGGTGCGGCGCCCCAACCCCACCATGGGCCCTGCTCTGTGTGTGACGGGATGGAGCCGCAATCTCCCCATTGGCCCTGCCCTGAGTGTGATGGGGGAAGCTCCCCAACACCCCCATGGGCCCTGCTCTGTGACGGGGTGGAGCCGCAAATTCCCCTTTGGCCCTGCCCTGAGTGTGACAGGGGGGAGTGCCCCAACCCCCTGATTGGCCCTGTCTGTGGGTAACGGGGCAGCGCCCCAACCTCCCCATCGACCCTGCCTTGAGTGTGACGGGGGCAGTGCCCCAATCCCCCAATTGGCCCTACCCTGAGCATGACTGAGGGTGGCATCACAACCTCCTGATCCGCCCTGCTCTGTGCATGACAGGGGGCGGCACCCCAACTCCCCAGTCGGCCCTGCTCTGAGCCCGACCAGCAGCTGCGGGGTAGGCACCTAGGGATTGGGCCTGCCCTCTGCCACCTGGGAGTGGGCCTAAACCAGCAGGTTGTTATCTCCCGAGGGGTCCCAGACTGTGAGAGGACACAAGTGGGGCTGAGGGACACCCCTCCCACCAGTGCACAAATTTTTGTGCACTGGGCCTCTAGTTCAATATAAATTTAAGTGAAAGAAAAAACCCTCAAAAGCTCTCACTTATACTTCATTGCCTTTCCATTCTCTATCACAGGATGGCTGACTATTTTCTTCCTTTCTGAGCCCACTTCTGCTGCCTCACTAATCATTCAGCATCAGGGACTCATCATCACTTTTAACTTATAGCCTGAGGGTCTGCCAAGCATGTCAAACTCAAAGACTAACACAGGCCAAATAAACAAGGCATGTGGCCCGCAGGCCTCGAGTTTGACATGCTTGGGCTGACACCTGAAATTCTCAACTCAGTCAATCTGCCAAATTATTATATTCCCCTCCTCAAAGATGGGATGGTGTCTTTATTAAAACAAAAACTTCCCGAACCTAAAGACTGCAAGTGAAGAATGTTATCAATTTATTTTTCAGAAGCAATTTTCTACTCTTCTAATGTCCAATTTCCTATACATACTGTAAACACACTGAATACTAAGTCTTATATGCCTCTCTTATTAATATGGTTGGTGAAATAAGTATCAAGTACTACTTGAATAGAATTATAGTGGAAATAAGGCAATAATATGTTACGCTTTTAAAAAGTGGCAAAAAAGTTTAGAATATATTATCAGATTTTAGCAAGTGATGGTAAAGAAAAGGGAAGACTGAGAGAAAAACAGAGACAGACATTACATGTAAGTATTTGAAGTGTTTTTTTTTTTCTTTTTAATCCTCGCCCGAGGATATTTTTCCATTGATTTTTAGAGAGAGGGAAAGACAGAGAGAAGCATACATGTGAGAGAAACACATCGACTGATTGCCTCCTGCACGAGCCCCAACCAGGGGCCAGGCTGGGGAGAAGCCTGCAACCAAGATACATGCCCTTGACTGGAATCGTACCCGGGACCCTTGGGTCCGCAGGCCGACGCTCTATCCACTGAGCCAAACCAACTAGGGATTAAGTTTGTTTTTAATGAGCCAATTTTGATTACTAAAGTTAGTATTAGTTTGAATTGCATTAATACAGTTAATAATTACTATGTTCATTTATATTGCTATAATTTATTCATGAAACATTGATTATCGACTATGAACCAGAAACAAGAGCTATAAAAATAATTAAAACATAGGTCTTTCATGAGTCTAGGGAGTGTGATAAGCCCGTAGATAAGGAAAAAATTTAGTACAGTGTGATAAATGATGCTAAAGTATGAGTAAAGTTCAGAGAAAGTATAATGTCTACTTACGTTAAAAAGTTGTTTTTTAGCATATGTTCTAATCTGTCCTTGGTAAGAAAAGAGAAAAAGAAAATTTATTATTAACTGTAATTGTATTCATTAGATGTCATTAACATATATAAAGAGTGGATGTTCTGGGCTTTATCCACCAAACGAATTACCTTTTGGCCCGGAGCAATGAACCTGTGGCAGAGCGCAACATCCTCGGGACAGCTGGCGAGAACCATCGCTGTTACGGACTTGAAGAGCCCCTCCATGACCTGAGAGCAATGACAGAACAGCCTGACTTGGGAGCCACTTTCTGTGAAGGACCTGTTGAGGGTATTGGAAGGCTTGCCTCCAGATTTAGCAACTATAAATTGTCAGGCCTCCTCATCCTGAATGCACTACAGCAAGTTCAGTTTCTCAGATTAATTAGAGGAGGAATTGCAAATTCTCAGAGGGGGCAAAATGAGAAAGAAAAACGCTTACATCTTTTGTCAACAGTTTCAATACTGATAATAAAGTCGGATGTCAAATAAACAGCTAAAACTGATTGATGCCTCTCTAAATTTCAATATTCTCACTTATGGAATCATTGCAATAACAGTACTTAGCTTACAGGATTGTTGTGAGAGCTAAATGAAGTAATACATGTAGAAGATTTAGCTTAGTACCCAGCCCACAGAAGCACACAACAAGTACTAGTTATGAAGAGTGGGGCACTTTGAAAAGTGTTTCATTCAGTCACTGGTAAAGGAAAGTAAGCCTTAAAAGCAGAGAGGCCATGAGATATGTCTGCACCTAAAGTATATATACATTTTTGCTTTTCTAAAGCATAAAGCAAAAAATAACACTAATCATTATATAACACAAACCAGCATATACAACTGTAAACCTACTTTTGCCTACCCCGTGTAAGAATTCATTCCACCAGAAGTGTCCATAGAAATCTCATAGGGAAAACTTGTTCGTAGAAGAAGAAAGTGATTGAAATGGAAAATATTTCTAAAATATTTTTAACCCAAACTAAAATTTTTGGCTTAAAGTCAATGAAATCATAATAGGCCCTCCAAATGTCATACTCGTAAAGATACATGCATTTATTCAGCACAGGCTGCCACAGAGGCAGGCTCCTTCCTTGAATCCTCTCTTGCATCACTGGTGAACCCTATCAGGGCTGCAAATGCAGGGAGTTTGTGTGTGTGTGGGGGGGAGCATAAGCGTTTACTGAAGTAATCTAATATGACCGGATGTAAGAAAGTACTTAATTACCAGTGACAACCAGATATATTTATATATACATAATACTTTTATATTTACATATACTTTACATTTTTATATTTGGAAATATATATGGATATATAATATAGAAGTAAGGAATAATTGGATAAAAGAAGAGCAAAAGGAGGCCAAAGATCTTTTACCTTGAGGCTGTATCTCCTTCAATCTAGCAGCGAGATAAAGAAATAACTAAGTAATTAAATGATTTATGAAGAGTCATATCTTCAATTACTAAAAGAAGCCGATGCATATTGGGAGGAAAAAAGAACAGGTAGGTTGGACAGTGCACCTGCACCGTTGAGGGACACAGTATACCTATCAGTAAGATGAAGACTTTGACCACTGGAGCTGTTAAATCGGTGTCTTTCATGAGCAGTAAATTTCCATTTGAAGAAGTAAATCATTGGCTTCTCTAACCTTGACTTTCAGACTATGCTCTATAAATATATTTGAAGGAAAAAGAAACTTAACTGAAGGGTCAGCATAACCTTCAGATGTTTTTAAAGGTATATTACTTAATGGCTCTAAAACAGTAACATGTAATTGCTATACCTCATGAGGAGAAAATCCTTTGTTACAATATTTTAATTTAATATTTAAGAGACTGCTCTTCATCAGGATAATAATTCCCACAGAATGTAATTTATAAAAGGAAGAAAAGGCCCTGACCGGTTTGGCTCAGTGGATAGAGCGCCGGCCTATGAACTGAAGGGTCCCGGGTTCGATTCCGGTCAAGGGCATGTGCCTTGGTTGCGGGCACATCCCCAGTAGGAGGTGTGCAGGAGGCAGCTGATCGATGTTTCTCTCTCATCCATGTTTCTAACTCTCTATCCTTCTCCCTTCCTCTCTGTAAAAAAATTAATAAAAAATATTAAAAAAATGATAAAAGTTAAAAAAAGCAGGAGATCACTTTTGAGGGAGCATATTTTTTTCACCTATATTTAGGAGAAAAGCTTATATTTTAAATAATCAAATCATTGAACAGTATATGTGCTAAGTCCCACTCAGTGTAGTACCAAATATATGTTATTTAATTATAGAATATATATATACATAAAAGGCTAAGAGACCATCTGACCATCCGACAGTCCTGACCACCGGGGGCAGATGCTGAACGCACGAGCTGCCAAGCTGTGGTGGCAGCAGTGGTTCTTGGGTGACACACCTTAGAACCAGAGAGGTGGGAGCCCGATTCCTCCCGGGGCCACGTGACTCCACCTTCGGTCGGGCCATGGGTTACATTGTTGCTGGGGCACTGTTAGCCCAGAACTGGTTTACTGCCAAGCTGCAGTGACTTGGCAGCGGTGGTTCTCGGGCAACGCACCCTGGAACCATAGAGGAGGGAACACGGCCCCGCTTCCTTTCAATGTGCACGAATTCGTGCACAGGGCCACTAGTAGAATATATAATTATGAAGCAAAGATTATAATGTTTAATAAATTCTAACATAATTTATGTATTGTTTTTGTAGCTGTTCCCTCTGGACTCTATTTAGGGGCAGTAGAGACAGGGTCAAGGCAGAAGAAATAGGAAGGTAAAAAGTATGGTTCTGTTCCTTATCATACTCTCATTGCCCAAGTGAAAGAGTAAGACAGAATTGGGTTGTGGGCTCAAACTGAAAGCAACTTAAGGAATTTACTGACTCCATGTGAGGCTCAGACCTGAATCTCTATAATCTAGAAAGGGGTTACTCAACAGTTTTAATATTGATATTCTTGGCCAGAGAATTCTTTGTTGGGGGGAGAGGGCTGTGCACTGTGGGATGCTGAACAGCATTCCTAGTCTTTAGTCACTAGGTATCATTAGCAACCGCTCCCAAACCACTCCTAGTGATCTAGAACAATAGTGGGAGATGTTAATGGGGTAGGGAAATGGCTACTACGGCATGTGGCCAGAACACCCCTTCAGAACCAAGAGCTTTCTCTGCTGGGAATATTAACTGCTGTTGGTTCATGGTCGAGTTCCTCTTCAGGAATGGTCCAGGCCAAGAGTGCTCTCTTACTGTGGTTACACCTCTTCCCAAGGATGGCCCACGTCCAATGACTGGTTGATGGGGGGAAGCACAAAAGCCCACCTCTTGCCTTCATATGGGACAACTATGAAGGACCATTCCAGCTCCAAAGCTCCTCACAGAGCTGGCTAAGGCCTCTAAAAGCATCACAGTTCAACTTCTCCCTCTGCCCAGTGCTGCCTTCTTCCTTTCCCTACAGGTGTTGTTCTCTAGAGCATTCCTCAATAATTCCCTGATGCTAATCTCTGCTTTAGAGCTTGCTTACTACAAAATACAACCTAAATCAAATAGTGAGTCCATTCTGTTTGGTGGTATATTTAGTATTTATGTTTTAAGTGGAATTGGGTCATTTACTGGGTGAATAAGAAGAGAATATAAATGAATGGAAGTGATAGCTGATAAAAACTGCTAAAATAAACATCTTGTAATTACAAATCCAAACTAAGATGTTAACCAAAATGCTACTGAGTAGAGAATTCATAATAACAATAGTAAATAATTTCTGGGTCCTAAGTAAGTGCCATGAACTATGCTAAGTACCTTACATATATTATCTGTCTAATCCTCTGAACCAGCGGTCGCCAACCATTCCAACCTCATGGACCACAGGTTGGTGACCGCTGTTCTGAACTATCCTATGAAGTAAGCATTATTATTCCCATTTTATAGATGAGGAAACTGAGGCTCAGAGAAATTAAGTCCCTTGCTTAAAGTCACATAGCAAGGAACTGATGAACAAATCCTGGTGCATTCCACTCCAGAACTTGTGTTTTCTATCTGGATTATGGCCACAACCTCCTAAAAGGACTCCCACCGCTGTTTTTATCTCACTCTAAATCATTTTTCATATTGCTGCTAGAGAGAATTTTCTAAATTATAACTTTGACCATGGCCTTTCCTACTGAGAACTCCTTCTCCTTTATCTTTTGGATTAAATTCAAACTCCTTAGCATGGCATTTCTCCATCCTCATCCCCTGCCTCCTGTGGATGCTTTCTAATACAGTTATATAGAAATTTCCCTAACCATAAAGATGTTTTATTTGTTTGCCTAGGAAATGACAAGGGCTACTATTTACTGAGCCTGCAATATGTCAGACTGTGTGCTTTACATTGTATACATTGTTTCTTTTACTCCTCACAATAACCTTATGAAATAGGTACTATTATTCTCATTTTACAGTTGAGGAAGTTAAAGATCACCAAGGTTAGGTAACATCAAAACAACGTTAAGGGCAAACCTGAGATATGAACTTAAATGTCTGGCTCTTGTACTAAAGGCATTCTAAGATGTTTATTAAATTAAGTAGTTCTCTATCTTCTTCATCCTATGAACACCTTGCGATGCACAGATGTAAAAATGTATACAGAAGCATTTTAATGTCACAGATGCCTGACATTTAGAATCTATTTTAAAATTTGTGTACCTACCTGCATGAGATCTTGAAGACTCTCAACAAAAGAGATCTCGGCTTCTACCATATAAAACTCTGCCAGGTGTCTCCGGCTCTGAGAATTCTCAGCTCGAAATGTTGGACCAAAGGTAAACACTTGAGTAAAAGCTCTGCAATTCAAGATTAAGAGTATAAAAATAGGATTCACATGATTAATTTTAAGTATTTAAAATACTCAGTGAGCTCTTAAAGAAAAAGAAAGTTTTGGGCCTCTGTCTTGTCCACAAATGCATACATATTAGCTGCTGTATTTCCTTAATGGTTGATAATAATAGTTTCATTAAAAGGGTTACATTTATAGAAACTATTTTATCCTGACGGAATTTGCAAATGCTTTACAAGCCCTATGGCTCACTAAATATAAAATGATAACCACCTCTGGGTGCACTCTACTGCAGCTGCCTTAAACAGCAGGCAACTACATTTCACAGCAATCAAGAGCAAAGTAAACAAAAAATACCACAGCCCACGAAGCTACACAGAGAATCTAGATAGTAACAGTTAAAATGAGAATTTCATGTAGATAAAATGGGTTTATTATTTTTTAAATATGTGAAAAAAGAGTATCAGATATGTATGGTGATTTGCCTTGTTCAAAGTCTACCCAACCACCCAAGTTTCAATTAATGCCAAGTGAGCACTAAAATGTGGAGGTAAGGGTAGATTTTGAAGAACTGTCTACTTGATCCACTGGTTTTCAAAAAGAACTATAGCTCAATAATGCCAACATGAAAAAGGTATTTTTAAATTCCTACAGAAGTGGACACTACACCTGAATTCATTCTTTAACACTTATAGTCTCCTCAGAAACAGGGCAACAACTGAGATTAGATCAAACATATAGGAAGTAATAATCATTTATTGAGGACTATCTAATCTTTGAATTTTAAGGTTTTGCTAGGGGAAAAGAAGAGGTGTGGGGTTCTTCAGCTATCATCCCTAGCTTTCTTCACTTGTCTGTCATCAGTCAAATAACATCAGAAAATAGTGCAGAGAATAAACACATTGTGAATATGCATACCAATTTTAAATTTATCTACCTATTTGAAGATACTCTGAGAAGCAAAACAGTAAAACAATTATAGTGGAAATAAAAAGATTTATGTTTTCTTTCACAAAAGGCCATTTCAGTTAAGGTCTAGTTGGTAAGAAGCTTAGCAATTTATGTTTTGGTTCTACAGTCATCTTACTGAGACCATGATCAGTTGACCTCTAAGAACTTTAGTTTCTAATGGAAAAATAAACAGTAAGAACTCAAAAATAATACTATGGCAACCTCTCTCCCAAGATTCAGATCCAGACTCGCCTATTAGAATGTCCTTGAAAACACTAAAACTACCTTGTCCCCATAAACAAACAAAAGACAAACAAACAAAAATGGACGATCCTGGTCCTAGCCGGTTTGGCTCAATGGATAGAGCCTTGGCCTGCAGACTGAAGGGTCCCGGGTCCAGGGTACATCCCACAATTGCAGGCTCCTCCCCAGCCTGGGCCCTGGTCAGGGCGTGCAGGATGCAACCAATCGATGTGTTTCTCTCACTTCAATGTTTCTCTCTGTCTTTCCCTCTCTCTTCCACTCTCAATGGAAAAAATATCCTTGGGTGAGGATTAAAAAAAAGGGACAATCCTGCTTTTCCTTTTACATTTCCCCCAATTCTGCTAATTTCAGTTAGTCCACCTACTCACTCCAACCTTACCCCCCACTTCTTCCCCAATGCCCACATTTTCTGTATCATTTTGATTGAGTACAACATTATATTGTTCACACTTCGGAAAACTCTCTGAAATCGAAAGACTTTTCTTTATCTCCAGATACTGTCTTGTGTGTAAATAACTCTTGTTTTGCTTAGAAACCTAAAACAGCTTTTAACTGGTGTTTCCCACCTATCTTTCTTACTCCAGTCCCAAACTACTACAAGTTTTCAAACTCAAATCTGATTTATCAGCCCTAATTTTAAAATCCTTCAAAGGATAATATTCAAACTCCTAACTTTGACTCAGCTGTCTTTCACAAAGGTTTTCTCCAATGAAGACATTCTCCTTACACGGCATGCCCTGCATGTTAGGCCTCTGCACAGGCCGTTCCCACCCGCTAATGCCCATCCTTGCTCCTCTCTCTCCAAATGGCAAATTCCCATCTATCCTTCAAGACTTGGCTCAAATGTCACTTTCTCTTTGTAACCTTGCGATACACCCCAGAATTTATCATTCCCTCCTTTTTATGACTATAAAAATCTGTTCATATATTTATTACACAGAACATATCACTTTGAAGTGCAAAGTGATATATATCAGTATCTTTCTCCTCCAATGAACTATGAAATTTTCCAGAGCAGGAGTCATGCTTTATTCATATTTGTATCTCTGGTGTCTAAGATAAAACAGGTGCTGAAGTTGAATGAATGAGGACTAATGATGATGACAGGCTTGCTCAGTTGTAAACTCAAAAAAGAACACATCCTCGCAAACAGCAATATTACAAACATGTACAGAAAAATAGTCAAATATACAGGGAGGGGCAATAGTAGGGTTACAGTTGTGAGTACGTGAAACACAATTTATTCTTGTATTATTATTTATTAATTATATTTTCTATATGATCATCTGTAAACCTAATTTTGACCGACCTTGTATTTTACTGTGGCTGTTACCCAGTACCTAAAATGGGTCAAATAATCCAGGTCTGTCCTAAACAATAAATTCAAAAATTACAAGGCCTTGGGTTTTCCAATCTATGATTACACAATCTCTAGGTAGATTGACAATAGTATATCTAAATAAATCAAATGATAATTTCTTTTTGGTACTGCACCATAAGAAATTTTATATACTGATGTTCACTAACAATAAAGGATATTTTATTGAGATTTTCCAGGGTATAAATAGAAATGAGATGACCTCAGCAAAATTTAGTTTGAGGGCTCTGAGGGAGATTACAAGAAATGGGCAGTTATATTCCGGAAATACAAGGAAGGCCAAGGGACTGCTGCTCAAAGGAGGCATGCTATTTGTATTATACGAGGCACTGAGAAAACAGTGATTTCTAAAAGATTGACCAGTTCAGTCACAAGGGCATCTGCTTCTCCCACAGCAATTCTATGTGGGGTGCTCTAAAATGAGTAGCAATAGAGATGTTTTATTTAACAATGGTTAATAATTTCCCCTAGCAATGCAGAGTAAGCTCTCTAGTATGAAATACAGAAGCAGATCAGCAATTTCCTTTTAATTACTAGTGACCTGGTGCATGGATTCGTGCACATTGAAAGGAAATTAATAAGAAGAAATATTTTAATACCGCTATTCGCCCTTTCTCTACAATAGAAGTGTCAACCAAATTCACGATCGACAATGACAGAGTGAAACACACGTATGCCATTGGCGCCACCAGCGAGAGCTTTATGTGTATCACACATGCACGAGTCAACTTAGCCTTTTATAGATACAGAATAAACTTGCTTAATTAGACCTGTTTTCTGATTTACTAGTAGGTAAACTTTTCCCAGCCCAGTGAAGCACCTCAACTTCTCCTTCAGGTAATTTTCAGCAGTAAATATCAACATGAAGCAGATCATTATTGTAGATCATGGAGGGAGAACAAAGGGTAAAATATTTAACTGCAGCAGTGTTTGACTATATTCTGCACAGTGAGAAAACCTGAAGTCATTTTCAAGGTTCACCATTTCTTACTTCTTTTCATTCGGGTCAAGTTTCTAAGCTTTCTAAATCTTCGTCTTCCAGCTAATGAAAATAGGATTCCACCGAGTATCATATGTACCTACTCCAGGATTTCTGTGAGGATCAAATGAGATGAGGCATGGGAAAATGCTTCACAAACATTTGGTTAAAGTGTAAAATGTTTGCACTTGGCTATAAAACAAGTCATGTTCCTGGGCTGAAGAAACTGCAAGGAGGCTAGTTGCTAGGGAGAGGAAGCCGGTGTTGCTACGTGACGTCATTACCCGGAGTTGCTACAGTGACCGTTTCTGGGCTGGGCTATGGGCCGCATTTTGCGTCATGGGGTCTCGGCAGCGTCAGCTGTGATTTGGTGGGCTGTTGCTCCAGGGTGGTTGCTTTGTGGGAACCAGGCCTGTAGTGCCCTTTATTGTTAAACCAGAGGACCGGTGTATGCACCGGTGGGGTCCCTCAGCCTGACCTGCAGGACCGGGCTGAAACCGGCTCTCTGACATCCCCTGAGGGGTCCTGGATTGTGAGAGGGCACAGGTCAGGCTGAGGGACCCCACCAGTGCATGATCAGGGCCGGGGAGGGACCATGGGAGGTTGAGCGGCCTGGGAGGGACTGTGGGAGGGCTCTAGGGCATGTCCATTTCACTCAGTTCCGATTGGCAGGACCCCCGCATCAAGCTAACCTACCGGTTGGAGCATCTGCCCCCTGGTAGTCACGTCATAGCGACTGGTTGGATGATGGGAGGGACACTTAGCATATTAGACAGATATATATATATATATATATTAATTAGAGGCCCGGTGCATGAAATTCGTGCGGGGGGCGGGGGGGAAGAGAGGGGTGTCCCTCAGCCTGGCCTGCACCCTCTCACAATCCAGGACCCCTTGGGGATGTCCAATTGCTGGTTAGACTGGCAGTTGGACATCCCTCTAGTGATCTGGGACTGCTGGGTCCTAACCACTCACCTGCCTGCTCGCATGATCACCCCTAACCACTCTGCCAGCCTGCTTCATTGCCCCTAACTGCTTGCCTGCCTGCCTGATCACCCCTAATTGCCTCTGCCTCAGAAGGATGTCTGGAATGACATCTGGAAGGTCATTCAGCTGTCCGGTCTAATTAGCATATTATGCTTTTATTATTATAGACTAGAGGCCCGGTGCACAAATTTGTGCATGGGTGAGGTCTGGCTGGCCTGCCCAATTAGGGCCGATCGGTCCAGGACAGACAGAGAGAGGGCATGCGGGAGGTTGGCCAGCTGTCCCTGCCTCCAATCTGGGTGGAGGGGCTGATGGGGTGGGAGTGGGGCAGCTGGTGGGGGGTGGGCGCCGCCAGCAGTTGGCTGGACAGCCCTGCCCCTGATTGGAGTGGGGGGGCAATTGGGGGCAGGGCCGGCCCGGAGGAGGGACCCTGGTGGTTGGCCGGCCT